ACAAGCTCAGGGAACTCAACTACAAAGTCTGCAATTACCGTCAGGGCTTGGCCGAGGAGTTCCAGCGGTATTCGCGTCACCTGTTACACGATGTGCCCGAGCATATCTCGACTTGTGTTGGCGAGGTCATTGCCAAAGAGCTCCGCAATTACCCGGCACTGAGCCCCGAATTTGCACTCCACGCCGCATTTGTCAATCTTGGTGGCCCTGCCACCTACCGATCGGTTCCAAGTGGGAGGGTCTCGCCCCCTCCAGCTCTCCCTCCCACCCCGCTAGTCCCAGGCTCGCCTACCGAGCACGGCCGTGAGTGTGAGTTACATGGCCTGTTTACGCCGAGCTACCTTCCTCTACTCGAGGTTGTGAAGCCCAACAACACCATGCCTGCCCCAATTACTGCCCCGTCGCCCACAACGCCTAAAAACCCGGAATCAAAAGATACTCCAGAGCCCTCGCGTGCTGTCCAGTTGAACAACAGCACTCCCCCGCAGCCAAATCCCACACCCCCTGGTCCGGAGCCAACACTCCCAAATACGCCGGTGTCGGAAGGTGGTATTCGTGTACTCACCAGACGCCGAAGTGCATTACGTCGATCCTCTAGTAGTTCCACGAAAGGTGCCCAGAGTCCTCGACGAGTCCGTTTCGACGTAGAAGGCGAAGAAGTCCTGCCCACCACCTCCCCGCCGACACCAGCTCTGGTTCATTCCCTCCCTATATCCCCACCACCAGAAGGCCAACCCATGTCGATCCACCAGCCTATAAGCCATATAATTTTTGACGAGGAAACCTCTCTGCTAGGCGACTCCCCTCCGCCGCCCAAAAAGATATCATCAACTGAACGGCTAAGGGCATTAGCGAAAAATTCAACGGAGGACGTGTCTAAGTGGACTGTTATTGGGGACCCACAAGACGATGATGACGATGAGGAGGAAGGACTCACTATGTTTAGTTCGAAAAGCAGCTCAAAGGCTCCCGCCTCGGGACTAGCTGCCGCCCCCACGATTTTTGCGAATGGCACAAGCCATCATTATGGACGAGACGGACTGTGGAGATATAACGGAAGAGAAATGGATGAGGACGAAAGTTCAGACGACAGCGAAGCAGATGATGACGTTCTCGAGCTGCCCCCGTTCCGCTCTGCCAAGGGTAACCCCAGATTTGCCTCTCACGGAGCCGTATATGGTGTACTGGGGAATAGTCCGGACTCAGAGTCGAATGCTAGCAAATCAAAATCAAATTTATCCGGCCTTACTAAACCATCACGGCCTAGCGAGATCTCGAGTTCCGAAGAAGCCATGTTTGGATTTGACGAAGAGTGGAATTCAGCAGGGGCAGAAAAACAGTCGAACTATTTCGATGAAGAACTCGATGATGAAGAGCAGACTGTACCGTTTTCTAAGTCCTCGGCTTCAAGGAGACCTGGCATGATATCCGCCATGTCGCCCGGCATGATGATCCCCAAGCCGGCAAGCCCGCCTCCTACGTCGCCTGCGGCGTCTGTCTCCAGACAATCTGGCGTGTCTGGTTCGTATAAGGGGAAGCCTTTTGTAATAGGGGTAGTCCGTGATGAAGAGCTGTACAAGAAGGCAGCTGTGGGCGACGTCGGCATGTTCGTCGGAAGTGTTGATGGCCGAAGTGGCGTAGATCCGTCGGTGACTTACTTCGCCGATGGCACGCCGCAAAGTCTCGGCAAACGGCTGTTGGAAGAGGCACATTTGCGCCGCAGGAAAAGTAATGCGGACCGGGAAGAAAAATGAAATGGCGTGTCTGCGATGTTTTCTTGATGTACTTCGGCAGTCGGAGCGATTCTTCGCTCTATAGTCAAGCTGCTGCATCTAGCTGGTCGTCGTTTGGCTCTTCTCGTGCTTGGCCACGCTGCGTCATTGTGAATTATCCGAACTTGGCGCGTTTAGGTGGTCGAGATAGATGGGGGACCTCTCGAGGCCTCCGACTCATAGCAGTAAAGAGAGGTATTCACGCCAACGATGCGGACTGAGGCATGGGGAATCCCTACACCGCCCGCCGACGAGGAAAGAGATTGGGCAACGGGCTCCTTCGGCACGGGCAACACTGACTTGTATTAGTCGAGGATACGCCCGTTGATTGCAATGTATTTAGCAGAAACTCAGGTATTTGACCTGCCTACCACATTAACGATATACACATGTAGCTAGTTGCTACGACTACTTGGACACTGCTCGTGGGGCAGTCTCTCGATCCGCGATGATAACACAGCGGAGACATACGAGTATGTAATGGGTTTATTTCACTTGTCTTGCTTCCGTGTGTGTCTGTGTATTTGGATTGCTGGCGACGTGGTGGCTTGTTGGTGTTATCTCTCGTCGACTGTATGGGTGTGGAGTTCGGTAATCTGTCTTGGGTGATTAATGTTTGTATGGTGTGGTGACTGGAGAAGTAACTAGATGGGTAAGATATGTGATTCTTGCGGCTATTTAAGCCCATGGATTACAGTCATAGGTTCTAGGTTCTATTACTATATTCAAGTGAGGCAGGCATTCATTTTCATTCGGAAACGTCGCCGGATACGAATTGAGGATGTACTTAGGAACCTAGGTAATGTATGACTGGTGAATGGGAAACTCACTTGTTTTGGATGAAGCTCACTTTTGTGTGTAGTTTGGTTGCCATGGTTGGGTCTGAATGATCTAGGTATTCGCGAGTGTGGTATTGCCTACTTGCTCCGTCTCTGCTTTTCTCGACTATATTGACGGCACTGCAGGATAATCCATATGTTTTATTTGGGATGTGGTCGCAAGTGTCTTAGGGGATGAGTCGTGCCGATAGGGGGGGGGGGGGGTTCTTTCTGATTCATCACCTACGAACAAGGAAAGCGATCTTAGTGAAGATGGCCCCCGCAAAGTCTGCGTTGGTCCGACGGAGAGTGACGGGGGCGGATCTAGGGACCCCAGGATACCCTAGGATACCCTCTCCCGGCTGGTCATTCATATCACTAGAGCTAGCTGCTTGCTGTCACTCAATGCGTTTCTCTTCCTTCACATGACGGTTGACGAGGGGGAAGGTTTGATATCGGTGGTTCTGCAATGGATGAGTGGGTTCTGTCAAGGAGACGTGCGTCACGCCGTGGTGGGCATGCTGGCGTCTATTACCCACATCGATGGGGCTGTATCGCTGGACTGCTGCCCCTGTCTCTTGAATCTGACGGGGGAATGCGCTAGACGGACAGCCATGGCTACCCCTGCTGTACGGTTTTGGAATGGGGGATATCTAGACTAGTATCTTGAGAGTTGGGGCTATATTCCCCGACGGGGGCGTGTGGTTGAGGATCTATCTAGGCAAAGTTAGGCTACTTACCTACTTACCTACCTAGGTAGGTAGGTTCGGGACATCAGTGATCTAGGTGGTATATTATATAGTATGCCAAGTAACGTGTAGATGCTCTCTCTGTAGATGGCCTCTCGGGAGGTATAAAAAGGAGGAGGAAAATAGGGTGATCGACCTCATGGAAGCGAGAGCGGTTGAATGGTGGTATTTGGTTCATGCCTCTGCGTGCTTTTTCTTTCTTGTTTTTTTTTTTTTGGTTTTCTTTTTAATTTCCTCACTTGCGTAGGTACCTACTTGCCTACCTGTCTACTGGTGGACTGAGGGACTGTATCGGTTGGTGAGCCTTTTTGACCAGTGTTCATGGGGCATCAGTCACGCTCTGGTCTTGCTTGAATCGGCTCGATCTGATGAGGATCACAGGCTTGACGTTAATGCTTGTTTTAACACTCTGTGAGTATGAGTATGAATAATCATATTCATATTCATACGAGTGTGTGTATGTGTATGTTTACTTTTTTGGTTCGTCTGAAAACTAGTACTTATTGACCGTCTGAATAATTATGAAGAAAAACGAAGAGAAGACGACAGGGGGATATACATCTATGTACTTTACGGTATCCCATACGATATCATCTCCACCCGAGTGAGGTAGGGGACATCGGACGGAGACAGGGAGAATATAGTTTTTATCTCTCAAGATGAACTAGGTAGTATGTATTTCTTCTCTCCGCCTTCTCCCGGGGTTTCGAAAGAATTCATCAAGATAAGACGAACCATCTCAACAAACCTTGTTCACCACATTTCGTGTGCATGTGACGTGAGGCATAGGGCCGAGATCTATCTATCACTAACTAGACTGGCCATCTGACCGTCAGTCTGGCTGACTGACTGACTGACTGGCTGGCTGGCTGAGTGTAGTTAGTAGGATAGACCGTGCTCACGAGGGCATCGAAATGAGACCCTGCCATAGACTATCTATCTACCGGCTACTATTTACCGGCCATGAACGACTAGGCGAACGGCGCGCGGAATGTCTGATAGCTCGATGAGAACGAGAAGTCTAGAATCTACGTGTAAACTCACCGGGTCTTTTTTTTTTGAAAAAAGAAAGAAAACAAGAAAAAAGGAAAAAAAAGAAAAAAAGAAAACTCTAAATAGGTTCTGGACGCGTAAGAACTTGTTAATACACCCGACCGACACATTCTTCGAGCGCGGACGCCGTCTCGTCAGATGCCGAAGCACACCGTCCGATGTATCCGGCATCCAGTCCGTCCGTCACTTCCGTCGGCCAAAGCGTCAAGACGCCGGCGTCGACGACGACGACGACGACGACGACGACGATGACGACGACAACACACCCAGACCGCGAAGCCGAGGAACGGACAACGCGTTGACCTATCTATCATTATACTACCCGACAACAGTTTCGGACATTGTCGGCCCGCCTATCTAGCTAGACATCGCGAACGAAGAGAAAACGACATGACACCGACTAGATACGCCCGGGCGAACTTGGGGACGGACTGTTCCCCGACGATTGAGAGAAAGCGTCGGCAAGACTTATGATGGGATGGATGGATGTATCTGCATACATACGTATATACATATATATATATTATATATATATAGACCGATCTCGCACCGACGACCACTCCAGAAGTGCAACAGAGATTCCTCATCAGACCGGTAAACTGGGTCCAGGTCCCATAGCTCAGTTGGTTAGAGCGTCGTACTAATATTCTAGCACCGATCTGGGTGTTGAAATGTCTTTGGTAAATGCGAAGGCCGTGAGTTCAAGCCTCACTGGGACCATCTATTTCTGATCTGTCTGAGCTCTCTTTTTTTTTTTTTTTTTTCTTTTTTTCCTCTTTTTTTTCATCTTTTGAGATTGGGTCTGTCTGTGTAAGTCTTTTTTTATTTTTTTTTTTTCCTTCTCCGTGAAAGAAATGTCTTGTGTGGACTATATGAGGTACTATCTATGCCCATGTGATCACCCTCACTGGTATAGAAGGACACGCCGGTCATAGCTGCTTCGAGACAGCCTCATCAGGTTTGAGCTCCTGAGGAAGATGACCTATGATGACCGAAGTATCGCCCCCGGGGCCCGGGAGTTAGTTAGTAGGTAGGTATACCCAGTCCATTGAACCGACCCCGACGATGTCAGACAGTTAAGTAGCATACCTGCCTATACTAAGAAGCTTGTCGAGCGTGTTGGCGTCCATGTATGACACTTTCTGACAGATGTAGGGGGGTGTGATAGGGTCGGCGCGAAAAAAGAAAAGAAACAAAAAAAAAAAGAGATGATGAGAGGTGTAGCTCTAACAAAACAAAAAAAAAAAAAAAAAATGTGGCTCTCTATCGTTTGGGATATCGACGACCAAGAATGACGAATTATCGGCGAGGTGATGATGTGCGTCAACATACCTACTAGGAGGGGAGGGGAGGGCGACACTGGAGGTTATCGCGATACACGACGTCGACAGTGATGATGAAGACAGAGTCAGAAGAGAAGAGTAGATGGGATGTCCCCCACTTGTCACGAGAAGATCCACGTAATGAAGGGAGGGGAGGAGGAGGAGGGGGGGAAACATGGCACCAACCAAAAGAGCGTCAAGCTGACAGCTCTCTCAGAGGTCTTGACGACTAGACCTGCGACTTGACCATTCCGACGACGGTGCCGGCCACCCTGACTTCGGGGACCGCTGGCCGGTTACCCGGGTTTTTTTGTTCTTTTGTTTTGTTTTGGCCTTAGCTCGAGAAGGATTCTGAATAAGTCTCGAGCATGAGCCGCCGTAAAGCGGCGTGTACAGACAGTCAAGTGTCCGAATCATGAGGTTGACCATCATCTTGTGTCAGAGGGGATGGAGAGGTTAATTAAGTAACGGTGGCATCATTGAGGACTGACTCTTTTTGTTCTGTCTGAGGCAGGGTCAGCAGATATCTCCGCGGAAGCGAGATGAGGACCGCTATATTTCACAGACTGAAATGGTTGACATGTTTTTTCGTTGTGTTTGTTATTCATGGTGGCCCGTTGAAATGGATCGTGAACTGTGGCGTGGCGGTGATGGATGGAATGTGGATCCGGTATCTTGGACTTTTGGTAGTAAAAAGATTTGTATCTTGATCTAACTAAGCCTTGGATACTTCTGCAACTCAATCATGACGTGAAGGGTAAACTTGTGGTTATGCAAATCTACATACAAGTCATTGGAGATGGAAGCGGCATGATATGATTGAAGGCGCTCACATGGTGATGTATGTGTGTGTGTGTGTGTTTACTCATGTAGGCTGGATCTAAGTGACCGGTGTGTGTCCTGATTTGAGCCGTCTCATAATCATTCGAGACTTTGAGAGAGAGACTTTGAGAGAGAGAGGGAGAGAGGGAGAGAGACATGACATGACATGACATGACTATGTAGCGCGGCGACTATGTTTAGTAGCCACGGTGAATACCAAGAGACATGTTTCTATCTATCCACATAGTATCATCTGTCTCGCTTTGGCTTTTTATGTTTATTATAATACTGTAGATAATCTAATTATACATATAAATATATATATATATATATATACACATATATACAAGCACCTACCTTAGACAGCGAGCAGGAAACTCGGACAACTTGATTGTGCTGGAAATCGGCTTCCTGCTGTTGCCCATTAGTCAGGCACCTACATGGCACTACTCGTCGTATCTGAATATCTAGAGTTCATCGCCGCACTACATGGCTGTGTCGTTGCGAGATCCAAAGCCGTTCTAGATCCTACCAGAAGGTCGTTGTAGGGCAAGATGACGGCGTGGCAAGTCATGCTAGCTGATTCACTAGGTAGATGTAGCCCTTCTAGAAAGGAAAGCAAAGAAAGCAAAGAGAAGCCAAGACTGCCTACTTACTTACTACTGGTCGACGGTCGACGGTCGACGGTCGACGGTCGATGGTTGACGTAGGCGACAAGAGTCACAAGAGTCAGTTGATCGTTTAGTTCAGGACGTAGATTCTCACGATCTCGTTCATCCGGTGGATGATCTAGCTCGAGGCGACAGACAGATGGTGGACTCTGGGCCCGAGTCGGTATATACGTGTACCTATACACGCTATCTAATAGGTAGTCATGTGTAGTCATGTGTAGTCATGTGTAGGTATGTCCAGGTATGTTCATTTTGTATTGGTTGCTTTTCCTATAATGCCACGGGGATCCCAATTCATCTACATACCTACGCTACGGAGAGCCCCGCTGCCCCCCCGGTCGTGGAGGTGACGGTGGAGGTGGCCGTGGAGGTGACGGTGAAGGTACCGGTAGTCGTGTATAAGTAAGTAGAGTGTAAGTAGTGTGTAAGTGGGTAATGTAGTGTCTTATCCCCGTCTAATTAACAGAAAAAAAAAAGACCGAGAAAACAGCCTTTCAACTGCCGAGACGTCTGGGGCTTGGAGCGGTGGCAATGGCCTCTTCACGCGTTACTTATCACTTACTCTACTTACATACTTACGGCTTCCCTTACTTACATAGTACATAGCCTTCGGAAGGATTGCTGTTTGTAGAAACGGCGCGGGCCTTTGTAATGACAGACCACGACGCCCAAAATACTACGCTGTCAAAAAAAGGTATATTATATTATAGGTAGGTATGTGAGTTTTTACCAAGTATTCTTTTGCAAGAAAAAGAGATAAGCAACCGACTACTGGTAGGTATGTAGGTAGATATTTGAGAGAGTCAAGATGACTGAAAATCTGGCAGGGAACTATCCAACTACCTAATTACTAGATATCTATCTATCTACATAGTAGGTAGGTATCTACGGTACCTACTAGTTACCTACTAGATAGATATAGTAGTATGATGATGTTAAGTGAACTGACACGCCATAAACCCGAAAACAACAGGGAAGGTTCTTGACTCTCGACAGCGTCTTGGCAGAACTCCACCGGCTACAACGGATTACGACAGGTCACGATGCACTTACCGATCTACTTGGTCACGATGGTCTTGCCGAGCTTGCACTAGATGACTAGATACTTGACTAGATACTTGACTAGATAGTTAGTCTAGTGTACATAAGTAGTAAGTAAGTAAGTAAGTAAAGAGAGAGCTCCAAGGTAAGATAGGTAACTATGTACTTGAAGCCACACACGCAGAGCAGCTTGGCAAAGTTGGCAAAGTTGGCAGCTCTCGAGCAATCCTACCGGGCTCCATCGCAAACAACGTCGCCTTTTCTCGCTAACCCTTGACATGACAGGTCTGCGCGGGGGGGGGCGCGGTTTTCGACTTCGGCACTTTCACCTACGCAATCTCCTCTCACGAACCGTGTCGTGTACAAGGCAGGCAAGGTAAGGTAAAGTCGATTGACATCCTGCCAACTCAAGTAAGTACCAAGATAAGTACATAGTAATGCCAGGAGGGCGTGCGTATAGTAGGGGAAAGATACGTGTAGCCTGCATGAACCATTTCTTTTTCTCTTTTTTTTTCTTTCTTTTTCTTTTTCTTTTTCTCTTGCCTTTCCCTCGTTTTGACGTTTCATCGAGCGCGGGGCTTCCCACCCATACATAAGTATAGTACGGCGCGGCAAATGCCGTCGTTCGCTCGTTCGCTCGTTCGCCCGCCCGAGCATTGCATCCACCGGAGATAGGTCTTCCCGGGAACCTCGCTACCAAGCTTTTTTTCTTTTTTCTTTTTTTTCTTTTTTTCGTCTTCTCTTTTTTACACTGCTACTATTACACTAGGCACACATATCATGACCCGGAGGCGAGGTCGCCTACAAGCCCCTTCGAGAGAGCCCTGCATACATATAGGTCTAGGTACCTACACAGGCTACCGTCTACCGTCTACCGTCTACCGTCTACCGTCTACCGTCTACCGTCTACCGTCTACCCTCTACCGTCTACCCTCTACCGTCTACCCTCTACCCTCTACCGTACACTACAACATTTGACAAACGTGGGGACGGTGAACCATCTCCATAGTAGCGAGTAAGGGTCGGGTGTAGTGTATCCACCGGCAATCCTCCATGGCACCTATCTACTTACTTGGACAGTATATTAATACATACCCACTGCCTAGCGTGCTCTCTGAAGAAGAAGAAGTAGAGGAAGAAAAAAATAAACCAAAAAACCTGAAAAAAAGAGGTCAATGACGTTTGCGGCATGCTGCTCGTCGAGCTGACTGCTGAATATCAACCTTACTTTTTACTATCTAGCGAGGGTGTATTCAATCCATACATATCCTAGTATACCTATAACTATACATATCGAAATTAAAATTTCCATTATAATTATGGGCGTTGCAAGTAAGTAGGTAGTCGAACGAATGTGATGACCAAAGCACACCTAGTTAGGGTACCTCTTATCAAGGGGATTCATGAGATATCTAAGTCGTCTGTAAGTATTGTAAGTACCTCTTTTAAACGTCTTTACACCACTGGTCGCAGTTTGTCTGTGCCATCTACTACTACTACTACGTAGTAGGTAAGCAGGCAGTGTCTAAGATGGCCGAACAATGGGTACAATGTGAATGAAGATGCTTGTTGATCATCTAGGTAGGTAGCGTAAGTAGGCACAGGAGTGAGTCGAGTGACAGCCTACAGGACCAACGGAGCCGCGATCGGGAACAATTACCAAGCATGATGACATGAGTAATCTGATAAAGTGCACGCGTTAGATGATTTACTTATATTACCCACTCACTGTAGACTACCTAGTTCATCACTGGTACCTACTTCGAACGTGTGTGTGCGTGTGTGCCTTACTTACACTAGCTAACCAAAAGGTTGGACCAAAGGGCGAGATCTGGATCTACCTACTTGTTTGTTAGCTTGTTTG